ATATTATCTCATCTGTTTTTTCTTGCATCAAACTCCTTCTCAAGCTTTTCTCAAGGTTTAGAACCAATGGCACATTCATTCCACTTGTCAAGGTAGACCCCAAAGAATGGTTCTTTTCTTTCATTCAGTACTACAGCCTGCTATGAAGTGAGACAATGACCTTGTTGCTAGTCACAATAGTGAAAATGAACAAGTAATGATAATTCCTGTCATTTATATGATGATAAAAGGAAATCTGTAGAGGATACAGACTTTACTCCTGCAGCGCAAAAACCTATTTACCCTACAAGGGTAAGACAGATTTATTTACTCTAAGAGAATTCAGGTAGATTAATATTTAGCCCAATTGCAAATCATATGGAAAGCCAGCAAAACTGTAATTGACAAAGAATTTGTCTGGTATTTAGTAAATAAAATTTATTTTAAAATAAACACGGTTGTGTTAAAAATAAATAAACATTTATTTTTACATGTCTTTTAAGTCTACCAACAACTTGCTGTCGAGTCTGGGGATGCAGGGATGAGGTCTGTGGGGATGGCACACTGTCAATGAATTAGACAAAAGAAGTAAGCAAAAGTGCAATGTTGTAGGTTTTATGTAAGAGAACAAACATGCCAGTAGCACTACTACCTCAGCAAAGAAAGTCAATTTATATGAGGTAGAGCAAGCCCATTGCTTAAAAGGCCATGCAAGATTTCATCAGTGCTATGGGTAGTCACTCCAAGTGATCATAAGCGTTCAAAAACTGTTTCTAAAAACCAGCCAACCAACCAACCAACACACAAGGAATGAAAGCCCTTACACAGGGACACAGTGTCTGCTAATGGATAACAGTGTTATCTGCTCATACCACTGACATACAATAAAGACAACACTTTGGAAAAGGTATCCGTAACAAATACTAGAGATCAAATACTTGGAGCTGTTCTTTCTTACTTGCCTCACGAAATCTAATTTTGTCACCTGTGCACTGTGCTTGACATTATATGCCTGAACCACATGCAAAGGCAGGTTATTGCTGCCTCCCCTAGCACTGCCCAGTGTGCTAGGGGAGACAACAATAACTTATTTTATTGTGCTGTCACACTTGGGTGCTGTCACACTTAGGTGATTTCTTGCTATCTATGAGCTCTCATACTCATTGAGACAGCAGCCATTTTTGAATGTAATCCCATAACTGTAAAAGTCAGTAAATACATAATTGTTTACTTATACTGAAGAGCAATGTCAGCATGAAAACAGATGTCTTTACAACAAATTACAGGTTTAAACAAGAACAATACTTCCACCAACTAAAGTAGTAGGCTTCTGAAAAAACTTCCAACACAAGCAGCAGGCAAAGAAAAGAAAAGAAACCCCAAAAAAAGCCTAACCACATCTAAGAAGGAACCTGACCTGTTTCTGAAGTGATTTTTGTGATACAGTTGCCATTTAGAGCAAAGTAGCAGACTTAATAAAAACATATCTCCAGGTCCAATGTCTCCAGGTCCAACACTCCCTCGTCCTGCACTTAACATAAGCAGGGTGTGAAGCAGCCACAGAGGCTTATCTATAAGCACCCACTATAGCCAAGTAAACTGAACGAATAAAATTTCACTGCAGCTGTTTCACCAAGAAAACAAATGTCAGTAATATGTTCATATGTCCTATCTGCAAGCACAGAGCAGAGAGATGTCTTGCCTACAACAGTGTATCTCAGGTGGCCTTAGTTGCTTACCTGTGAAAAACTGGATGAAGCTGAGGCTGGAAGTAGCCTCCCATTTGGAGGCATTGATCCTCAAGGAGGACTTCAACCACACTAATATCTGCTGGAGGAGGAACACAGCAGGGCATAAGCTTTCCAAGAAGTTCCTGACATGCATCAGCAAATACTTCCTGACTCAAGCAACAGAGGAGCTAATGAGGGGAGGTGCACCCTGGACCTCATGCTCACAAACGAGGAAGGGCTAACTGGTGATAAGAAGGTTGAAGGCAGCCTTGGCTGCAGTGACCATGAGACGGTGGAGTTCAAGATCGTGTAGACAGTGAGCAGAGCAAAAAGCAAGCTCACAGTGCTGGACTCGGGGAGAGCAGATGTGACTACTTTGATCATTTAGAAGAGTCCCATGGCATTAAGGCCCCGGTGGAAAGGGTGGCTCCAAAAAAGCTAGTTCATGTGCAAGGATTACTTGCTCCAGGTGCAAAAGTAGTCCACCCCAACAAGCAGGAATTCAGGCAAAAAAGGCCAAGAGGCCTGCATGTTTGAACAAGGAGTTCCTAGCTAAACTCAAACACAAAAAGGAAGTACGCAGAAGGCAGAAGCACAGACAGGTAGCCTGGGAGGAATATAGAGGCACTGCCCAAACATGCCAACACATGGGTAGGAAAGCAAAAGCCTACCTGTAAACCCTTCTGGCATGGGATGTCAAAAGCAAGAAGGGTTTCTCTAAGTATAGAAGTGGCTCAAGGAAAAGGGAAAATGCGTGCCCACTGCTGGGTGGCACGGGGGGTCCTGTGACACAGGACATCTTCTTCACATCAGTCTTTACTAGCAAGACTGGCCTTTAGGAACTTCCAAGTCCTGGAGACCTGGGGGAAGTCTGGAGCAAGGAAGATCTTCTTCCTCATCCAAGATCATGCAAGAGAATACTTAGGGAAACTACCTAATTCCATGAGCTCTGATGGGATGCTTCCACCAGCGAGCTGGCTGATGTCATTTTGAGGTCACTCTTGATAGTCTTTAAATGATTGTTGTGACTATGAGAGGAGTAGTGAGCAGCTCGGCCTCACCTTCACCCCTGGGAAAATGATGGAACAACTACTTCTGGA